GAGGGGTAGACAGATGCAGATTTTTCTTTAATATTCAAATGCTCTTTATTTGATCATATCAATAACAGCGCTGAACTAAAACTCAAAATAACCTGTTTTTTTTTTTTTTTCAAATTATGAAACAAGAAAGAAAAAAGTAACTACAAAGACATTTATTTCTTAACACAGCACAGGTCCAAAGACCAGTTTGTCCTTTTTAGCAGAGCACAACACGTACTTATAACACCAGATGCTGATTTCTCCACATTATTCGTCGCACTGTAATAACTGGAATCAACCTTTAATTTAGTTTTTATTGAAAACACTTCCTTCCATTTTCTTCCTTCTGCTAACATTACTAACCATTTTGCTTGTGATAAAATTAAACAGCTGACATGCCATTCCCCATTTGTGACTGCACTTATAGCCCAAAGAGAAAACCTCTCCAAACATCCTACAATTTCTTTCTAAATGATGAAACAGTGAGCAAAGTCTACAGCTGTCAAGAAAACAGTGGAAGATGGCTTTCCATTGTTTGCAGGAGGGACAACCATCATTTACCGGTGATGATATCACAGAAACAAAAGCACTGACAGCCACATTCTCAAACTTTCCACTGCAAGTCTGCAGTGAGTTTTAGGGACCAATGGTTTGTACAGTACAGTACTCTCCAATGTTCTCATTACTCAGTGTCCGACAAGCTCTCTGTGGAGCACCAGTCCAACCACTTCATTTATTCAGAATTTCATACTCATCTGTACATTGTTTTTCCTCCAAAACAATTTCATCTATTTTCAGATGACCTAGTGAACTCTAAAATATGACCACTACAGTTTTTTAGAACACAATGTTCAGGACACAAAAGGGGAACACCTGTTTGTGACAGCTGATGTGTACAGCTATTGAGCATGTGACTGGTGTATCTAAAAGATCTGACTTGCAGGTGAGAAGCCAGAGCGACAGTGCTATCCAGGTAGAGCCCACACAATTCCACCACACATCCCAGTGTGGTGAGTTTTGCTGAGCAAAGCTGTATTAGTGCAGAGGGCCCGACTGCACACTTGGTTTTAAAATGAGTGCCATAAAGCGCTGGCTCTTTTCAAAGCCAAAACAATGAGTCCCAGTTCTCTGGTCTTCTTTAATGGAATAAAATAGCAAAACACTAAGGCCTTTAAATGAGCATTTCACAGCACAGAAAGAAATGAGGGAGAAGGAAGGAAAAGGGAGAGAGAGAGGCAGGGAAAGTCAGGCAAAAACAAATGTCAGATTATACCCTTTGATTCATATGACCTGCATGCTTTTGAACTGAACGCAGGAAAAACTACAGCCACACAAAAGAGTATCTAATTCCTAGTCTTTGTCGTGTTGTGTAAAACCGGCCATCCAACAGTATTTCTCCCTACCCTCGCTGGTAGCACCTTTAACCAATAACAAGGAAACAATGACCGTACAACAGCTTTCCATTATGACACCAAAACCTCCAACTGATGTTTAATTAAGTATATCAAGAACTGCATGTTGGGTTTGGCTCATCCCCAACATAAATCTAGCAGGACACCTTTCCTGTTTGCAGAGCTCAGCACAATAATCCTGTGCTGCATATGGACAAAGAGGAGAGTGCAATTAGATCACTATGAGTGTATCCTTGTTATCCATCCATCCATAAGTCCTACACTTGTCTATATATATGTATATATGCACATGTCCATGCGTTTAATCATCTGCTCATTCATAAATCGTGTTCATCATGTTGCACACCCACACATCCATATCTATCCGTTTACTTTCAGATCCATCCATTCGAAGCCACTCACACAGGGTTTTATATGCCACTGCTCTGTGAATCCATTCATCCATCCATCTGGTCATATTGCTTTAATCCCACACACATTTAGCTCAAAAAAGATGATCTTCAAATATGTATAGGCCAGCCACTGGTATGTGTGTGTGTGCACATGCGCAAGAGTGCATGTCCTTAGATGTGTGTATGTGTGTATACATGGGTATGCTAGTGTCACACTGTACTGAATGCATGCACTCCTTCACTTGTAATAATAATAATAACAACAACAATAACAATGTTACGGATACAGGACACAATCATATACACTAGAGGGCTATAGTGTTAGTGTGTCCGTGTGTGCAGCTTGCAGACACTGCTGTGTTTCCAAGCCATTGGGTCACATATCTATTAGCACTGGGCTCCAGTGCCACTCCGCTGTCATTAAGAGCCAGCAATGTAGGTCAGAAGGACTAAAGATTACAGATCATAAGCAGCATCACTAGAGAATACTTAATATAACAGAATGATAATTGCCAATATGCTGTGGACAGCAGAGATGAACAATGGCTTTTAGCATATTCAGACACACCAGCATGTATCCGTTTGTCTGCGGGCTTACATTTGTATATTTGTTGTATGAATTTATGTGCAACAGAGTGCATGTGTTGTTATATTAACACAAGAAAAATTAAGGCCTGGTTGTGTTCTGTAAGAATGTTGAACAATGCGAGTGTGAGGGGCAAATAAGTGGGGTAAAACGAAGGGGTGAGTGTTGGACGGGCTGCAGACTTGATGAGGCAACTAGTTTTACAAGGTCTAGCCCGCACTTCTGAACCTTTCACTGCTGAGTGACATGACGCTTGACTTGCTGTGAAACCTCTCTCTTTCTTATGTTTTATCTTATTCTCTGCCATCTACTTCTCTCTCTCTCTCTCTGCCTGCCTTCTTCTTCATCAGTGTCGCTCTCTCTCCCTCTCATGTCTCTGTCTGTTCTGTGGTTCCCCTCCCTCTCTGGCAGTAAAGGCTGATGGAGTGTGAAATTAGAAAGTGTATCATATTCTGCTCTGTGGCTCCATGTCCTGAGCTATAAGCTACAGCTAGTCAGAGTGAAAAATAACATGTAGTGAAACAGATACATTAACATGGTGTGTGCGTGTGTCTGCCTGTGTGTGAGTCTGTGTGTGTATATGTGTGTGCGGGAAAGGAGACAGAACAGCGGAGCCAGCTAGGGCTTATCTTAAATTACTTATTTGATGCCTGCTACACTGATGCTTTTTCACAAACTGTGGAAATGATATGGATTAAAAATGTGAACACACACACACACACACACACACACACACACACACACACACAAATTCTATACACCTTATTTGTTTGCTGAGACTGCACAAAATTTGAATAGGTGGTTGTAAACATAACTTTTAAAGTTTTGATAGAAGAAGAACACACAACAAGAGTGTAACAGATGCAGGGCAGGTCCACTTATTACCTGAAAAACAAAACAACAGTGTGGATTTGCTTAAATACATTACATTACATTATTGTACATCCAGTACACTCATACACACACACACACACACTACATACAGAAGGCAACTGACTGAATGTTGCTAAATATAGCCTGCACTAAAATTTTCTCTAATATTACCAAGACAAAATGAACCTAATATTATGGATATAAAAAGCTGGTACAAGATTTTGACATAAGGCTGCACTGATACGCAAACACAGACACAAACAAAAGTTTGTGTGATATTCAACAAACACTCAACGTGACTGATATCAGTAACTGCATTACCCAAGCAACTGTGAGCTTCTGTGTTACAGATTAATTATACTAATGCTAACTGATTATTGGACTTGGATGGTGACTGTAATCTTATAGAGTGTAACAACTAATCAATGGTAAATAACACTAGTGCTAGCTAAAATGCTTCCAAAGCACCCTGGCCCCTAAATCCCAAGACAATAGTTGGAGAACATATGTTTTATTTTACAGCAATATGTAGTCATATAATTGCTGAAGATAGCACATTTAGATGTATGGCAGTGACCTATGGGAGACCAAATTAAGACCAGACAGGAGGCATCTTGTTGTGTCTCCAGTTAGATTTTTCCATTAATGTCTTCATTGTAAATAAGAGCTTTTCTTCATCATTGGATGTTTGTAGTCTTCTGCTTTCACCCCGGTCACATCATACGCCTGATACCCCTGGACTGTGACCCACCACAGAACAAACAAAAAAAAGACTACCTCTGCTACAAACTCAATACATTCCCCCTTTTGTTATATTATATGAAAATCTGCTGCTGACAGTTTTATAATGTTATATCTGCCGCTGTTGGTCATTTGCACTACTCCATGTACATTTCATAAGCTCTTATGCATCCCATCACCAACGTCCCTGGTGATGCTGACCACCTGACAATCTTCTTGTTATTAATTGCACTACTGTCACTGATTGTACATAGTTTTGAGTCATAGCCTATTAGGATGTACAGTTTAAGCTTTATCCTAATTACTTTAATTTAGTTTTCTTATTCTATTTTAGTTTCTTAAATGGTATGGGCATTCAATATTAGGTGAGAGAGAAACGCTATTTCCATTTTTCTGTATGTCCTGCACATATAGTGGATTGAAAATAAAAAATCTTTGAACCTTGAACCTACTGCTCCCCCAAGTGATTATCTAGATTTGAGTCCTTAAGTGGAATTAACCTGCCACCTCCCTTTAGCCAAAACCTAATTTTTAAAAGTGATTATTATTAATTTGCACCTCAATTAAACTGAATAAACTTGAAACTAAGGTGTACTCTGTCGTTTCCTTTTCTTTCTAGTTGCTATTCTATATACTTACTTTCATGTAAAGATTTAACCATATTTTTTATTTACTCCTGACATCAACTTTATCTGCTGGTCTTGTTAAATTTATTGCACTTCTGTATGTACAGTTCTTCCTATATACAGTATGTCAACTAGTAAACTCTATTTGAAGGTGTATGCTAAGAAGCACACTTTACTGTAATGAATATGTTATGCTGTAGTCTTTCAGGGTAGAGAACTTAAGTAATGACTGCGTTTACATACATTCAGTCTGTTCTTTGTGCATTTGTTTTGACAGCATTTAAGTCTATTTACAGTGCTTTATCAACAAATCATGAAAAAATGTGATCCTAGGTGTACATTTCACAGTATGTGTGGACATGTGCTGGTGTGTGTGTGTGTGTACGTTTACCTGCATCACGCCAGACACCTCTCCTTTCTTAAGTGGTGCAGCAATGGAGGGAGTGAAGGGTTTACTGTCTTCTACTGGTCGGCCTTTCAGGAAGTGTTTTCCTGCCTCGTAGATATCCACCTCAATCATCTTCCCTTTGAACTCAGCCCTCTTAGGTACTAGCACCTGCAGCCAGGAGTGACATACTGTATCATAACTTTTGCCACTGCAAGTAATAATTATTTAACACTTGGGATATTATGTAGCAGTGACTGAGGAAATACACTTAGAAAATAAATCACATCATAACTTCAAAATAGAGCATAGTAGATAACATTAACATCACTAAGTGAAGGTTTGTAGGCTTACAGGGGTTCAGGAAAAAAGGTATGTCATTTAGTGACTGCATTGTATTGAGATAATGCCAGAAACTTGCTGTCATGTACTTAAACAGGCTGATCTATAGAACTACCCATTTCACCAAATAACCAACCATCTGCATTTTTCTCCCCATCTGTCAAATTCATTTCCAATTAAATGCTGCTCCAAACAGTTTTTCCCAGTGCCCCCACTCATTGCTATTTAGCTCGTGTCTGCATGCTTATAAAAACCAAAAAACTTTTTTGTTCCATTTATGGAAGTCATGAAGGTCAAAAACTACGGCAACAGCTGTGAGATAAACCAGTGGGATTTGCTGGTTTGTCTTACTATTTCACCATGGCAACTATAAATCTTAGTTGATCACAGCAGGAGAGAAGCAAAAAGTAAAGTTATAATTATGGCTTAGCGTGAAATGGAATTTGCTCTTAATGACTTACTTTAAATAAAGATCACTTGCAAACACTTCTCGTTTCAAAACAAGTTGGCAGATCGACAATGGTGATATGTGCTGTACAGTTAGAAGTGGTTCAATCACTCCCCTAAACACAATAGGATGACTGGTGTCATGATAATGCTGGGATTTAAAACTGTAGTCATAAGAGCTTGTGCAAATTATAACCACAACATAGATGTTTTGTTAGCAAACATCCCATCATTTATTCTGTTTCCCAAGTGAAAGAAAAAAGATTTCCTGTATAGGTTTAATCACCTTAGGCTTTGAAACGTGATGTTATCTTTTCTGAAAAAAGCATGAACCTGAGCATTTATGAGACAACTATCTGACACTGCAGTGATCTGATCGTTCCTTCTGGAAACAGTTTGACACAGTTTACAGTCAGTGTGAAATAATTTAATAATAATGAAAATATTAAACTTTGACTGATCTCTGCTGATAAAAAATCTTTTTGATTGCGTCAAAGGCTGGAATCAGCAGAACCATGGATGTGCTGGGGATTCAAGTCTCTAATATGATTGTTCCTCACTCCTCGTTTGACCCGGAATTTGTTCTGGTCAAGCAAGAAGCAAGAATGTCCCAAGAGTCTTATATCTGCTCTAAAGAGGGAGAAGTGAGGAGGCCGCTTAAGGAGCATTGGGTGAAGATCCAAGAGACCACCCTCCATGGAAGTCTTTTATAAACAGTTTGTGGGAAATCAGTTGATGACTGGACGCTTGAGATGAAGGATCAGAGGAAAGGATGTCTCGTGTATCTACAACATGTTTCCTATTTTTTCCTTGCATCTTATGTGGGAGGGTCAAAGATGAAAGGTAAAATGAAATGAAAAGTGATGCATATAAGAGACTTTGGTCGTGCCCAGTGTCTTGCTTCAGTACACTTCAACGGGCTGTGTGCTGACTCAGATCACCTGGTGGTCTGTCTAACCATTACAAAACTCTGCAGGGCTGAGTGACTGACTGGGCAGAAAACAGCAGGTGAACTGGTGGAGGGAGCATTACTGATGGCGGGAGTATGCCTGGCCCAATGTTAATCTGTCAGTCTTTATCCAGTCGGGGCGATATGAGAAGGAGAGCAGGCTAGACAGACACACAGCCAGTGCCACACCTGCCTAATCAACACACCTGCTGCTCAACACTCTGATCATTGTGAGGGTGCATGTGTGTGTGTATACAGTATGTGTGTGCCAGTAGTCAGCAACCGGGCTGGGTACAGAGTGGAAAAAACAGTAGGGCTGTGGGGGGAAGTAGGAGAGTGTATGCATGTAGGTGAGGGTCATTCGAGGTCCATTACTGGGTGATTAAATGATGAAAGAGCTTGTCCAATTTCACTGAAAACTCACCCCCTAGTCCCTCACTCAGCCACTAACAGATACACACACAGGTGGGTAGGGTGCCTATTATACCCGTCAGGAAAGATAACCATCTGATGGTGTAAAAGTGAAACTAGGCCATTTCTTCACATTCACACCTCTCTCTACCTTATTCCTTACTTCCCCGTCTGTGTGTCCTAGGTGTAGCCATAGAGCATACATGACATGGGGATATAGCTTTTGGAGGGACAGATTCAGGTACATGATGTTTTCATCTTCAAGTGTGATGAAGGAAAACATGCCAAATACCAAACACTGTCCAAAAAAACCAGGGAAGGGGAAACAGCAAACACATTGACGTGCCTCCCTGACATACATGTCAACTGACATACATGCATGCATATGCACAAATTCACACAGACTACACATGAAAGAGCGTGCACTTGTACAACAAACATATAAACTGAGTGACACTTGTAACTTAAGTTTACAGCCCGCAGAATGATGTGCAAAGGAAGAAGAGAGGAGAGGAGGGAGGAAAAGTGGAGGGGAAGAAAAATTATCACCATCCCCTGCCCTCCCTGCTAATAAAAAGCAGAACTTCAAACATGTTTCTTATGATGGTTAAAGCAGGAGCAAAGTGATTTATTTCAAGATGTTTTAAAGTGAATTTTTCACAGGTTGAGAGAGGGTCTTTGAAGCTACGCAGATGAGTGTGTGTATGTGAACAGTTGTTTGTGTGTGCAGGATGGAATGCTCATGTCTTTAGGGCTGACCTTAATGTTAGTACAGTAAAAAAAAAAAAAGTAAAAAGTACTACCACTATCAACTGCCAAATGCTCCCATGACCACCGCAGGGGGTGTGTGTGTATTTGTATGTGTGATATTACACTTAAACTACTTCAGTCAATACAAACTTAAGCTTCTGACACCTGCTGTGAGTACTCCTGTGACATGCAAAGCAAAGCTTCTGATCTGATTTACTAAGTGTGAAAATGAGGAAGAGTTGGATAAGCTTCACATATGAAAAAATATTCATCAAATGCAAATTAATTTACAGCTTTTGCACTGTATGTTCTTGATGGTGGACAGAGTGTGCAGGCCGACAGTGTCAACAAACATTCCTAATACATCCTACCACCCTTACCAACCAGTGCAACTTCAGTGAAACATCAACAAAAATGTGATCACCCAATGAAAGATATCAGTCAATATCATATTATTACTTTAATGTGGCTAACCTTGCTAACTAAAGATAACTGGATCACTACATTTATTTTGAGACATAATGTAATTTTAAGGTTGTCCTCTGTACTCCTCACTATTCCTTTATCTTAAATGTTTGCATGACACCAATGTATTGCAGTATTTAAATTTTAAAACAGCTCAAGGGAAATGCAGTTTTAGCATATTTAATTGCTGTTGTCAAAACCTGTGGCTGCCTGTGTATGTGCTGGAGTAAAAGGACACAACAGCTAAAAGTAGAGATGTACAGTACTGATCGATTGGCACAGATCGGAAATGGCCGGTTTTCAGCACGATAGACCTTGACCTGTGACCGGCTGATCACGCTGAGATATCTGATTCTGTGCCAGTCAGATTAAGAGGCACGGCAGTCCACGTTGCACATGCATTGGCACAGACCAAAAGAGTGTGCAGTGTGTAGCATCTTGCTCATGTCTATAATGGGCATGTTCACTTGCGCATTGGAAGCACTTGATGTACAATGAGCGTACAGAGGAGGCCACAGAAACGCCTTGGAGAAGAGAAAACTGTCCAAATCTCCACCAAATAGTCTACAATGAGAGTATTACTGGCTACACATGAAATGCATGTAAATGAACAGTGTATCCAACCCATGCTAAAATACAGCAAATATTACCTGTTGCACCTCTTTATATTTGAATAAGTATAAATATTGCACTTCAGTATTAGTTGGAGGTTTGTATAAAAAATATGAGTAAGAGAAAGACAGAGATATAAAACTTTAATTCAATGTCTTATTTTTATTACAATTAAATTTTTCATTGAAGAAAAGATACAAAAATGAACGCGTGTTGTCGACTGGAGTTCTTAGAAAGAAAATCAATTGACAAGTCAGATTTTAAATTAAAAAAAATCTGAAACTGGAATCGGCCAAGAAAATGGCAATCGGTGCTTCTCTAGTTAAAAATGCAGTGGTAAGAGCATCATGTTCTGTGGAATGGGTCCAAATTAATCACTCATTCACTTATTTTAACAAACATCTTACCTGTTCATAGAATTTGTTGTGAGCCACGTAGTACTGTGCATCAAAAGACTCCTCTGTCACCAAGACGTGTTGCCTCTCCCCTACCTGCACAGAGTGGGAGAAAGAGAGAAAGAATATTACCAAACTGAATTTGCTCTGAAAAAGAAAAAAAAAAATGAGATAAACACTTTGACTAATAAAACATCAATCAGCTTATCATGCAGCTTTGGTGCAAATATATTTTAATCTGTTAATGTGGCCATCTGTGAGTGTGTATATATCCTCAGCCATATGCTGACCATAACCTAAGCAAAACAACCAGCATTTGCAACCCTCCCTCTTCTGCATGGTCGGGCCATTTTGATCACATTAGTAAAAGCATAACATTTTCTTGCCATAGATGTGCTTTTGTGATATGAAGCATATGATTCATGAAAAAAGTATCATCGGTTTAATTTGAAATCTCACTTTAAGTATTCTTACAAGGAAAAGGAGAATCGGCTGTAATGTTTAAATACATCATTTACTTTTCAGATTAAAATAGACACTCTTGAACAAAAACATTCAAAGGTCAAATAGCTCGGTCTCCCTTCTCCTGCCGTATTACACTGCTAGAAAATGTGGGCTATTTGCCTCAACCACATTATTTTGGTACCTGGTTTCTTTGCACGTTGAATCAGATATGTTAATAAATCTGCTGTCACATATTTAATGATGTAATATGAATATATTTAGGAAAATCTACTGTCTGCTATAGGTTGTACATGTTATATAGGCCATGTATAGCTGTGTACCCTTCTTCGGTTTTAATCCAACACAAGCCTTAGTCTGACATTATGTTTCTATTCATCAAGATTCCAGTTCAATCAATGTTTTGGTCTTTCATGTTTTCTGTTAGTGCAATTCACCATTTAATTACAATCTCAAGGTTCCTGAGCCACTTCAGTTTTAGCACTTTGGCTGAAGAGTGAGCACTATTCAACTCAGGTCCTAACAAAAAAGATGAATGAAAAGAAGAAAAAAAATACAAGGCTATATGGGATACAATTCAAATGCTTACAGAAAATAGTCTTTTCAGGACATGGGAAAATCAAATACTACAACAAGGCCTCCCAATCAAGAAATTTAGAATTGGACATAATGGCAGAAAGTACTTTTTTTGTAGAAGAATGTTGTTGACTTAAAGAAGAAGAAAGAAGAGGAGAACTTTGCTGAAAGTACTGTAGGAGTCGACAAAACAACCTCAGAATTGACTTAGATGGAAAGGGAGATACCTTTTCTCGCTTGTTTTCCACAGACTAGTATCTTGATAATGTGTGCTTCATGGTTGGAGCCATACTCATTTCATTTTTTCAATACATTGATACATTGTTAGTGTGGCCTAATGCATCTTCAGAACTGAATGCCTGGATAATGTACAATGCAGCTTGGGTGCATACAGTGTGGGTGCACACCTGTAAATTATGTTTTTGGTCTACTTCGTCATAATTTGATTGTTCAGAAAGCAAACTGATTGTTCTTGTGATGTAGGAAAACAAAAGAGAAAGTTCAGATGCAAGCCAGCAATTTAGGAAACAGTGCTGCAGAGCACAAACCACCAGGTCTGCTCAGTCTTAGACTGAGGTAAAGGGGTGCAAAGTATAATGAGAACAGTGAGAGTCCACAGTCTTTCACAGCTTTCCTAAAAGTACTAGGTATCTTCACTTGCTTTTTGCTACCTTGTGCTATCAAGTAATTTTTTCATTTCATTTGCATTTAATGTTTTAATCAAATTTGCATTCTAAAGTTGAATCTATATATGCATTTTAATGTTTTATCTGTGTGCAAACTGTATGCATTTTAATGTTTTATCTAAACGTGTGCATTGTGTTAAGCATGCTGAATTGCCTTTGTAAGGATAAGGATAATCACCTTTATTGGCCAAGTACGTTACACACAAGGAAATTGTTTCCAGTACAGAACCAATGGCAGCCATCTGCGGCGCCACCTCAACCGATGGCTCTAACCATCGGGGGCAATGAGGGGTTCACTTCGACAGCCGGCACCAAGATTCGAACCTTCAAACGTCTGGTTGGGAGACGAGTACTCTACCCACCGCACCACTGTCGCCTCCCCTTGTGTATGAAAATGTGCTATATAAATAAATGTGCCTTGGATTTTAAATATTAAAAGCAGTAGTTTTTAATAGTTGAAAATCTTGGGAACAAGTATCTTGTATGCGCAACAGGCAGTATTAACATTTTAACTCTGTCAGTAATGAGCCTTGTACTGTGAAAACTGTGCTGACTGATCATTTCCTCAGCAATATGTCAGGGCCTTAGAAGTCACAGCTCTGACACATTGCTCAGGGTGTTTCCATTTTTGTAGACACCCATCTTCTGTGCTCTTTTCTTCCCTCCTTTCCATCTTGATGCCTTTGCTTTCATCCCTCTCCCCTGTCTCTGGGCATTTGCTTTGCTGTTCCTGCCTCTCTTCTTTCCACTCCAATGTCCTGTCATCCTTCTCTGCTTTCTTTTTACTGATGTTACTTTGCGTGCAAGGCCATGCTGACAGACTTAAAAAGAGACAAAATAAATCACTGATTCCTGCAAACAGAGCAGTTTTGTGAAAAAAGTGTATGAAAAAAAAAATGCCCTTTGAACATTATTAATCTACGGTGAACATTTGACTTTGGCCTTTAGTTTGCTCCTTTGGACTGAATCCAGATATCATAGCTTTGAGCCTAAAATCTTGAGAATGTCAGAAGAAAACACTCACACTGTTGCACAGTCAGGTCCAGAGGTATTTGGACAAGGACACAATTTTTTGGAATTTTGCCAACACAATAGATTAGTAAATGAAGTTGTCAATACATTATTGAAGTGTAGACTTTCACCTTTAATTCAAGGGATTTTAGCAAAATATTGTGTTAACCATTTAGGAATTACAGCCATTTTTCTACAAAGTCTCCCATCTTCAGAGGCTGAAAAGTAATTGGATAATTGACTGACAAGCAGTTTCATGGCCAGGTGTGGCATGTTCCCTTACTATTTGTCATGTAACAGTTTTGGAGTTGACTCCAATTGTTGAATTTGCATTTGGCTGCTGTCCACTGGAACTCTCAGTATGCGGTCCAAAGAGGATTTGATGCAAGTGAAGGAGGCCATCATAAGGCTTAAAAGCAAAGCAAACCTATCCGAGAGACAGCAGAAATTTTAGGAGTGACCAAATTAACAATATGGTACATTATCAAAAAAAAAAGGAATGCACTGGTGAGCTCAGACACACTAAAAGGCCTGGAAGACCACAGAAGTGGATTATTGTAGAATTCTTTCCTTGGTGAAGAAAACACCCTTTACAATATCTACACAAGGCAAGAACACTCTCAAGGAGGCAGGTGTATCACTGTCAGAGCCTGCAATCAAGAGGCGCCTTCATAAATGGAAATACAGATGGTTTACCTCAAGGTGCAAACCATTGGTAACACTCAAGAACAGAAAGGTCAGATTAGACTTTTACCAGAAAAATAATAAGGCCACACAGTTCTGGAACAAGATTCTCTGGACAAATGAAACCCAGATAAACTTGTACCAGAAGGATGGGAAGAGAAAAGGAAGGGCTCATGATCCAAGGCATGCACCATCATCTGTCAAACATGGTGGAGGCAGTGTTATGGATGACTGGTGTTTACTTTTGATGTGAATGCTGATGGAAGTAGCAGGATGAATTCTCAAGTATATAGATCTATACTAGGCACCCACATTCAGACAAATGCTGCAAAACTGACAGGACAGTGCTTCACAGTACAGAATGATAATGATCCAAAACATACAATGAAAGCAACCCCGGCACAGAAACGCGTTAAAGCAAAGAAATGGAATATTCTTCAAAGACTAAGACCATCACCTGACCTCAACCCAAATGAGTGTACTTTTCACTTACTGAAGACAAAGGTGAAGGCACAAAGACCTACAAAAAAGCAGCATCTGAAGGCCTGGTAAAGGAGGAAGCTCAGCATCTGACGATGTCCATGGGTTCCAGACTTCAGGCAGTCATTGACTGCAAAGGATTTGCATCCACATATTAAAAGTAATTATTGTATATATTTTATGATAGTTTGTGTAGTTACTTTAGAGCTTCTGAAAATGGGGGACTGTTTACATAAAATAGCTGTAATTCCTAAATGGTTAATACAATGCTTTTGTGAAATGCCTTAAATCAAAGCTGAAAGTCGACACTTCTGAAACATACTGACATTTCAAATCCATTGTAGTGGTGTGCAGAGGCAAGATTACAAAAATTGCATCCTTGTCCAAATAAATATGCACCTGATTGCATATTTTTTTAAAAGAAGTTGGTGTTTAAATAAACAAACAGACCTTGTCTGTTAACATTGTATCATTCTGTTAACCACTGACCTCTGGCTAACAATCACAGCAAGTTTTACTTACAGAATATACACATTATTTTTTAAAGTTGTGTTCAAAGTTGTATTCAAGACTGGTGCATCACTTTGCACAAAAAAGCACATCACACAATGTCAAATTTTGTCCTACAGCAAATACCCCAAGTACTGGCCCATTAAAAACATAGCCATTTAGTCACTTACAAAACAGACCATCTTATCAAAGCCTCTTCAAACTTTCATTTCATTTTCAGTCTTGTACTGTGGACCAGAGGAGAGGTGCACTAGAACTTAAACCTAGAGTAGATCTACCAGCCTAAATAACATCTGACCCACACCCAAATGTGGAACATTGTTCTGGGATTGAAATACTGTATATCCTAAAATATTGACTGAACACACCCCAGCACAGACAATGACATATGAAGTATTTCAGTAAATTAAAAGCTGATGAGCTGTCGTCACCTCTGTGCACCATACCACGAGGTCTCTGTGTGTATTTGCAATATAATGTATGTGTTGGGTTTTGTCTGTGTGGCCGCTTGTCTATATTTACAAACATGTGCACTTTATGCAAGGGTCCACATTTAGTTGTTTTCACTCCATCTGTTGAATAACATCACAGGATACCAAAAAGGTGCAAGGTGCAAAACACCTACAATCTGAGATCACTATTTACCTAACCATTCAAAGAATAGCATGCCATGATATGTAGCAGATC